GTTTGTGGTTGTTCTTTTTTTTCTTTTTTTACAATTGGCAAATAAAATCATTCACTGTAAAAAGATTGAAAAAAGTCTTGAAAAAGCCACAACCCGTTTGCAAAGGTATACTCCCCACCCTCTGTGTCCTGTAGGATAAGAAGCTACCAAGGAGGCCTTTTTAAAAGGCAGCACAAGCAACGATGGGAATCACCTCCTGTATCTTGCCCTTGCAAGGGGACGCCGGGTTACGCCCAAGTGCAAGGGAGACGATTCGGAAGGATGATTTGGCTGCCCAGGCCGAGGAATCCGGGAAGGCCAGGTCAAGGTGGGCGACACGCGGGCCTGGGTCTCAGTCTGCTTTCGCACCAGCGACTCCAAAAGTTCTGTCTGGCGGTTCATGAGGGCAATAATCTGTTCAGTGTCCACTCGGTCCCGCTCACGGTCCTGCAGATCTGCCTTGGCGTATTCCCCAAGTGCTGCCAGGATCCTGTCCGTGGCCATTTGGACCCGTCTATCGGCTGCCTGTGTGATCTCTAGGGCCATATCTTGCCTGTTTTTCCGTTTCCTCTTTCTGATGTTGGCCAGTCGTTCAGCTGCGTAAGACCTTGCAGGACCAGGAATGGGGCTTTGGGGTGAGGTAACAGCACCATCTGATTAAAAAAAGGTGAAAACAAGATTAAGCTCATGATTCTAACAGACCAATCCTCAAAGCTGCTTTCTACAAGTGTAAATAAATGAAAGCAATTTCATTTATTGCTTGATTACATTTTGTGAGACAAATTTATGGTTTTTAATTTGTGTTTTTATTTAAAAATAGTCTCAGCTAGTGGCAACATTTAATTGTATTTCATTATTTTTTATTTATTATACAGTGGTACCTCGCTTTACGATTGCCCCACATTACGACAAAACCGCATTACGATGATCTTTTTGCGATCACAAAACGATGGTCTAAATGGGGTTTTTTCACTTTGTGATGATTGGTTCCCTGCTTCGGGAACCGATTCTTCGCAAAACGACGATTTTAAAATAGCTGATCGGCAGTATCAAAATGGCCACCAGGTAAACAAAATGGCTCCCCGCTGTTTTCTGGGACGGATTCCTCACAAGACAGGCAGCGAAAATGGCTGCCTTATGGAGGATCTTCGCTGGACGGTGAGTTTTGACCCCATTGGAACGCAATGAAGGGGTTTCAATGCGCTTCAAATTTTTTTGGGGGGGGGTTACGATGTTTTCGCTTAACGGCAATTTTCGGTTTTTTAAAATATTATTATTATTATTATTTTGCTTTACGATGTTTTCGCTTAACGGCAATTTTCCTGGAACGGATGATCGCCGTTAAGTGAGGCACCGCTGTATTGTATTTATTACTTTACTATTATAAACTATATTATGTATTATGTTTTTATTACATATTGTAAACTGCCAGAGAATAGCAACACTCATGGGGTGGTATAGAAATGGAAATACTGTACATAACTAACTGAAGAGCACAATCCACATTTACTTCTCTGTGGGCAGTCATATCTGGACAACAATTCCCAGAATCTTCCAGTAAGCATGGCAAATACCAGGGGATTCGGGGAGCTGTCTAAATAGTAACATTACAAAGTTCTTCATACATGTGCACACAAAGAAGAAACACAAATGCACACGTACATTCTATTAATTTATTTGCATCCCACATTTCACCAAAATCTACTCAAAGTAGATTAAAAACAAAAGAGAAAATTCACATCTAAAAAGTTATAAAACCAAATAGGAATTGCAGATATCATCATATTCAAACAACCAGTTTAAAATTATATAAAGTACATCAGAAAAAGTAAATGGAGGAAGAACAGCCTCCCCTTCTTAAAAGCTCCAACAACCAGCCATTTGAAAAACCTTCTTGAACAGCAGAGTGTTTACCTATAGCAGTGAAAAGACAAGGACAGACACCATATAACAACCTGTCTTATTTATTTTCACTCCAGTAATCTCTTTGCCAATCTAGAGCCTGGGAAAGTTACTTTCTTGGACAAAGGCTGCAAGAATTCCCAAGCTACATGACCTCTGGACTTGTTGACTAGGGACTTATGGGAAGCAACTTTTTCCAAGTTCCTGATGGTAGTGCTTCACACAACTGCTAAAACCGCAAGAGCACTCACCTGTCGCCTTCTGCACTGGAGGTCGATGAAAATAAGGAGTCCTATTCCGACACTCCATCAAATCACGATTTGAGTTCTTCAACAGAATCAGATCTGTTTGCCCTGGTTGTTTCCCCATCTGCTTAGTGGTCCTTTTCATTAGTGCTTTAAAGTGCAGCGGGAGTCGAGAGATGAAGTCACACCTATGGCTGTGATGGTTTTTCACAGCTTGGAAATGTTGCTCTCTTGGACTACACCTCCCAGAATCCTCTGATCAGCCTGGCCATTAAATTCCTTCAACAAACAATGTTCTGTGCCTGAACTGCACCACTGCCCATCAAGGCTGGGCAAGAGCCTTGGCTCACACCCACTCCTTGCTAGCAGCCGTACTGGTAGCCCCCCATTCTGGATGCTTACAGCAGGAAACCTAGTAGCTGTGTTAGTTTTGTGTGTGTGTGTGTGTGAACTACAAATCACTAGCACAAATGTGCTAGTAGAACAGTCTGCCATGGACTAGCAGTTTCCATGGATTTCATTTATTGCTTGATTACATTTTGTGAAAGGATCTCAGAGGGTCCCAATATCAGGCCAACCCCCATCCTTTCCACACCAATCAAACCTGGGTGACCAGTGCTTCAGTCCTGGGAAACTGGACTGCCCTCTGCCAGATCTGCTTTTATCTTGATTCCTGCAATTGAGCAGGGGTTTCGGACTCAAAGGCCTTATAGGCCCCCTTCCAGCTCGATGATTCTATGAGGCCACCTTATGCTCAGAAGGTGGCCATCCTGCACAGAGCAAAACCAACAACTCCGACACAGTTGCCTATGGAAGTGGAGCATATGACAGCATCAGGAGGGCCCTGCCCGGAGTGTCTAAAGGGCAAGGAACCTTTCCCAACCAGCGAGTCTTGAGGCGAGATGCAAGGGTTGGAAGGCTCTAGAAGGGAGGAGAGGGACCCCAAAGGATAACAAGGGAAGGAGGAAGCCAGTGGACAGCTAGAGAGGAGGTGGGAGAAGAGGACAAGAGGCGATGGCACCAGAGCAGTCCCAGCCAGAACCACCTGAAGGAGCTCTATCTACGAGCCTCTTGCTTCAGCTGCCCAAGGGACGCCACATCCCAAAGAAGGCACAATCAACTTCCTGCTGATCCCATCCCAGCAACGCCTCGTCTGACTCAGCTATGCCAGTGGGGGAGGCAGAGACAGGCTGGTCATCTCTGACAACTGGAGACAGAGATGTGGGCCAGCCAGAGGAGGACAACGTCCTCCCCTGGTAGAGGGCAGTGGCAAGAACAGCTTTAACCGTTTTGTCTCTTTGTTTAGAGGCTCTTTGGGGAGGATGAGGTGACCACTCCCCACCTTGAGAAATAAGTGCAGCTCAGAATCAAGACTGCCTCTAGCATCGTTAGAATAATGTTGAGTTATTTCTTTGGTTTGATTAATAGTCATGCTGGAAAGAACTTTCAACTCCTGCCCTCATGCCTGGACCTGAGGGTCTCTTTGACGCCCCACTGCCCACAGAAGACTTACAGGGATTTATGCATTTCTATTTCAGCTTTCCTCAAAGAAGGTTGAGATGGTGAAAATGGTCCTCCTCCCCATCTTTGATCCCCACAACAAACCTGTAGGATCTGACGCAGCTGAGATACAGTGAGTAGTCCATGGTGAACCAAGTAGCTTCACGGATAGGTGGAAATGTGAGTCCTAGTCCTACACTCTAACTACCACACCCCAACGTATTTGCAAACTCCTCTGTGTGTGCACAGAGACGCCAGAAGCGTGCACAGGGTTTTCATAAGAATGGTATTAGGACTAGCTTCTGGCTAGTCCTATAGAATGGATCATCTTCGACACGGGCAAGTATCTATTTACAATTTGTGCAAACCTATAGAATGGATCATCTTCGACATGGGCAAGTATCTATTTACAATTTGTGCAAAAACTGGTGACTCACCCAACCAAGGACATACCCTTCTACCTTCTTACCTACAGTTGAGGCAGAGCATCCTGGTTTATCACAAGGAGTCGAAGGGAGAGGTGGAACAGGACTGCTGACTTCTGCTACACCAGAAAAGAGATGCAAATCTTATTAATTCTAGAAACGGAACACCAAAAAACAGCTGCTCACAGTTCCATACTGTTGGCTTACTCTGGCGCATGGCAATTCATAAGCTACAAAAATAAGCACCTAATACACAGAATGGAACAATCAAATACAGTGGTGCCTCCCTAGATGATGATAATCCGTTCCACTGAAATCGCTGTTTAGCGAAATCATTGTCTAGCGAAAAGCATTTCCCTATTGGAATGCATTGAAATCTGTTTTAATGTGTTCCAATGGGGAAGAATCGTCGGTGTCTAGCAAAGATCAGCCATAGGAAAGCCGCTTTGCGAACCGTCGATCAGCTGTTTAAATAGCTGTCTTGCGAAGCTTAGGTCCCAAAAACACCCTTTTGCGAGCACGGAGGGAGCTGTCAAAATCGTTGTCTAGCGAAAATCGGTTTGCGAAGCAGGGACCAAACATTGTCCAGCAAAATTCCCCCATAGGAATCACTGTTTTGCGAATTGCTATAGTGATCGCAAAAAGTCAATGTCTAGCAAAAAAACTGTCATGCGGGGTAACTGTCTAGCGAGGCACCACTGTACAGTCATGGCCAAAAATATTGGCACCCTTGCAATTCTGTCAGAAAATGCAACCCTTCTCTCAGAAAATTGTTGCAGTTGCAAATGTTTTGGTATTCACATGTTCATTTCTTTGGTTTGCGTTGTGTGTGTGTGTGTGTGTGTGTGTGTTTTGAATTATAGCTCCTAGAATCACCCACCAGAATAACAACTGGTCATGCTGGCTGGGAGATTGTGGGGATGCGGACTGTAATCCAAAATAGTAACTTTTCCAAGATCTCTACTCTGTGCACAGGGTTTTCATAAGAATGGTATTAAAATGGAAAAAAATACAGTAGGACCCCCATATCCACAGGATCAGTATCAACTGTTTCACTTATAAGCAGTTTGCCGCAGCTCTATATACAACAGACAAGGATGTCCCTTTGTGGCCTTTGTCACGCCACCTCGTATTTTGTATACAGGATTCCTCGTATCCACAGTCTCAGGCATCCACGGTAGATCATGGAACCAATTCCAGGTGGATACAGGGGTCCTATTGTAATGAGTCAAACCAGAAGTGGGGGGGAATAACCTACAAGAAGTGGGGGGATAAACTACCTGCCCTGGAATGTATAACCGTTCCCAACTCTTTATACCGGAGGGGGGGGAGGTTCTTCAGATGTTATTGAACCCCAGCTTCCACCAGCCGCAGTCATGAAGGCAACCTTTCCCAACTCTTTATACCGGAGGGGGGGAGGTTCTTCAGATGTTACTGAACCCCAGCTTCCACCAGCCCCAGTCATGAAGGCTAAGGCTGCAGAGGATGGAGATTGAGATGCTCTCTGCCCTTGCATTTTACTAGGGCTGCAGAACCTCTGGCCCTCCAGACATTCTTGACGACAACTTCCCACAGCCTTTACCACTGGTGGGGCAACTCTTTATACCGGAGGGGGGGAGGTTCTTCAGATGTTACTGAACCCCAGCTTCCACCAGCCCCAGTCATGAAGGCTAAGGCTGCAGAGGATGGAGATTGAGATGCTCTCTGCCCTTGCATTTTACTAGGGCTGCAGAACCTCTGGCCCTCCAGACATTCTTGACGACAACTTCCCACAGCCTTTACCACTGGTGGGGCCATCGAGATATACAGCTTAAAGTATGTGACGGCTAACAGGTCCCCCACCCTTGTCTTGTACAACAACCCTCAGGCATCCCAGTTAGATAACTATCTTCCAGCAACTCCCTTTGGAAAATGCGCTGAATGAGGCGCTGGGCCAGCACTGTCATGCAGCCACTAGCCGCACTGACTGAGGCATTCTAGGAGTTACAATCCCAGAAAGTAACTTCTCCCAACTCCCCAAAAAATGTGCTGCTCACCCTGGGGCACTGTGACTGGCATTTCGTCCGGGGCTTCTTGCTTGATGCACGGCAGAGGAATGCTGTCTTTCCCGATCTTGGCTGGGGAGGACCTTCTGAGCTCCAGCACTTCTTGACCGTCCGGGCCACCTTCCTTCACCCCGTCTGTTGTGGCTTCCTCCTCCGTGGAACACTGCGATATAGAGTCTATGATGGCTACCTGGCGGTGATTTAAACCAGGGAGCTTCTCCAGAGGTGAGAGGTCCCTGTCATTCTCCAACAAGTGGTCCAACCTGTCATAGAAAAGCCAAGCCAGGTGACCCTTCCCGGGTGAGTTGTTGGCTTTAGCGATGCGGTAGTCTCTCTTCAACGTTTTGATTTTCGACCGGCACTCCAGGGCCGTACGCCTGTGGCCTCTCTTGGCCATTTTGCCGGCCACTACCTGAAAGGTTTCAATGTTCCGATGGCTCCGCTGGAGTTCCTGTTGGATCTCTCGCTCTCGCCAGATGACCAGAAGGTCAATGACCTCTGGGTAGGTCCACGTGGTGCCACGATACTGTCTGTAGGAGGGGACGGCAACTTCTGGAGTTTCGGCACCTACAGTTAAGGGGTGAGGGCAAAGAAGGGAGGAGAAATGCTAAGGTACCTCTCTCAGTATAGCGACTCGTCAGACCAGTTTACATGAGGGGAAATATGCAGTGACCACCAGTACCACACAGTGAAGCAAAGGCCACTGGAAGGCCTGGAAGCTTACAAGTTTGAAGCAATTCCAGTTTTGGACGATGGCTCCCAGAATCCTTCAGACTTTTTTTCAAGCTCTAGGAAGGCTCACCTTCTCCCTCCCTGAATTATTCAGTCTATGTTTTTGAGGCATATAAATAATAATAATAAATAAAGGTAAAGGTTCCCCTTGACAATTTTTGTCCAGTTGTGTTCGACTCTAGGGGGCAGTGCTCATCCCCGTTTCCAGGCCATAGAGCCAGCGTTTTGTCCAAAGACAATCTTCCGTGGTCACGTGGCCAGTGCGACTTAAGACACGGAACGCTGTTACCTTCCCACCGAGGTGGTCCCTATTGATCTACTTGCATTTGCATGCTTTCGAACCGCTAGGTTGGCGGGAGCTGGGACAAGCGACGGGAGCTCACTCCGTTGCGTGGATTCGATCTTACGACTGCTGGTCTTCTGACCCTGCAGCACAGGCTTCTGCGGTTTAGCCCGCAGCGCCACCACGTCCCTTTTAATAATAAATACTCATGTTTTATAATTGGAAAGTCTCTCAGAGCTTATTTATCAAGAAGAAGACATGACATTCTCTGCCCGCAGGCTTACAATTTAAAAAGGAAAATCAGAAGGGAAGGGAAAAGGGAAAAAAAAGAAATCCAAGATTTGCACTCTTAAATGTCTTAAGACTCTGCAGCCAGGCAGAATGAATGGCTGGTTCAATGTACCTGGGAACAGACAAAACATGATGGAGCTGAGTTCTTTAGGGGGGGTGATGGTGGCCCTGATCCCTTTCTCTCCACCATTCTGCACCCTACTCAGAAAGAAAGGCGTTATCTCCATTATCACTATATATAGGCTGATAGTGGAGATGAGCCAGTTTCCCTTTTCCTCTTTCTGAGTAGGGTGCGGAAGAGTGGAGAGAAAGGGATCAGGGCCACCATCAGCCCCCCTAAAGAACTATATATATAATAAAGGGGATAAAGGTAGCTGGGTTGCTCTTTTCGGATGTTTAAGCCGCTTTGACAAATGAATGGAACATACACCTCTGCAAACATAACCAGTTAATAAGAAAAAGATCAGTAATAGGCTGTGTGGTCCCTCCAAACAACAAGAACAGCAACAAAACACAATACAAATGCAAAAGCAAGCATGTAAAAGAAGAACTGCCTCCTGCTGATCAGGCAAGGTAGCTTTCCACCTACTTCTCTCTCTTGTTAGGCACAAATGTCTAACAAGAGGCAAGGGACAGGAATGTCATTTAGTTATGCATTTTTTGCAGGTGTCACAACCCAAATGAGCCCCAAGGAAGAATGCAACTTCAATCTAATAGAAGAGGACCAGGCACTTGCTGAGGAACAATTGGGGAACAATTAACTATAAAAGGAGCGCAGGGTGCTAACACAAGGCCTCGTCCCACTCTTCCTGTGGTAGATGAGGATAAGGAATAGCGAGTAGTGCAAGCTCAACCAGTCACCTGCCTGGATGAATGGGTGGTTAAACTCTTGGAACTTGGAAAAGCTACTTGTCTGGACTACAAATCCCAGAAGATCCAGCCCTTATCTGGACAATGCTGTTTGGGAGGTTCTGGGAGTTCCAGTCCAAAATGCTAACTTTCCCAAGCTCTGATTCTTGCCCATAACATTATGGGCATGTTATGGATTTGTTTCTGGGCTGGAAAGCTCTTTTGCCCAACTAAGAGGGTAGAAGGTTGGTACATCTCTTTCGTAGCCCACAAGACAGGCTTCACACAGGCAGAATAGTCACAGGATCAACATGTGCAGGATTTGTGTCCAAATGTGTTGAAGTACGGCTGGTTGGAGCAAAAAAAACCAACCCGTATCTGACTTCTGGCTTGACGCTGCGATGAGCCAGCAGGAGGAAGACGAAGCTCCGTCTCCTGGGCTGAATTCCGACCTGTTTGGGACCCCCCCCAGGGGTTAAAAACCACCCCGAAGAAGTGGTGAAATGGGGGAGAAGCCTGTTGTTCATGGGGTGGATGGCGGTTACCCATGCTTGATCCAGGAAACTCCCCAATCAGCCAGCGGGCGGAAACAAACAGCTGAATAAGCCTGCTTGCAAGTTGTTGGCAGCCGGCAAAAGAAGCGATAAACCAGCCAAATTAAACATCGTCGTTAACATTGGGTGAGATACAAAATTTTAATTATACTACTATATAACTTTCCCTAGACAGAATAATCCCTTTAACAGGAAAAAAGAGGGGCTCTTAGCTCAAACTCTAAATTAAGTAGTGGTGGATCTGGAGAAGGGGAAAGAGAAGCAAAGAGAAGCAAAGAAAATAAATAAATTGGACATTAATAAAACACTTAATTAGACTGCAAGGAAAGAAGTTCTGTATTACTTTGGTGCTAAACTTAAGAAATCTTCCTCTTAAAATTGTTTTTGCAAACAACACTCAGAGTAATGTCTATCTACAGTATTGGCAAACAGCCCAGAAACATAACCTTGAAAAAGCCTAGAAACCTGATCTGAAACTCTGTTTTGTCTTTCCGGTTTCTTCTTCTTCTGAGAACTGACTAAAACATAAGACAATTAACTTCAGAAAGTCTAATGCAGTGGTGCCTCGCTTAATGGGCGCACCGTTTAACGACAAATCCACATAGTGATTAAGATTTTGTGATCGCTTTTGCGATCGCATTGCAATGTTCCCTATTGGGAAAAATTGCAAAGCGATTTTTCCCCATACGGCCCATTTTCGCCCAGTTGATCGGCGGGGCTTTGGGATGATCACGGGGAAGCCGATCAGCTGGGAGAAAATGCGGGCTTCGGGATGATGGGGGGAAAGCGCTTCCCCCCATCATCCTCCCGAAGCCCCGCCGATCAGCTGGGCGAAAACGGGGCGTTTGCGATGATCGCGCTGAAGCGGTTCCAAAATGGCTGCCGGGTAAATAAAATGCCCCCCCGCTGTGTTTTCACGCCCTTTCCTCACTTACCAGGCAGCGAAAATGGCGGCTGCATTGAGGATTTTCACTTAAAGGTGAGTTTTTTCCCCATAGGAATGCATTAAACATGTTTTAATGCGTTCCTATGGGCTTTTTTGCCCCGCATAGCGACGAATCTGTATAGCGACGATTTTTTCAGAACGGATTATCATCGCTATGCGGGGCACCACTGTACAAACATTGAGTGAATAGGACTGCCAAACTACATCAGAGACTGGATTCAATTAACCCTAAAGGCGATCAACTTAGCGAGGCAACTACTGATGGAACTGGACTGACTGCCTTAAGTGATGAGACATTTTTCACTTGAAACAAAAGTAGCTGGCATCTGAGGACATAATGTCACAACAAGGGAAATTTTGGGAGGAAACAAAATCTACCTTGCAAGCGATATTAGAAATAGTGCAATCCCAGAACTAAGACATGCAATCGTTCACAGAACAACTAAAGAAGAACTATATTCAAGAAGATACAGAAAACATTGAACAAGGAAATGTGAAGGTGGAGGACGATGTATGCCAAAGAAAAGAAGGACTGGGGGAAATCAGAGGGAGAAACTCAGGAGAGCCAAGGAGAATCTTAGCTGTGTTAAGGGATGATAAAGGGGGGAGGGGAATCAGCAGCATTAATTACAAATACCCTGGAAGACCTATTGGAGATAGATGAAATGCATAAAGATCTATTGGAGATTGATCAAGTGTACAAAATGCTTTCAGATTACACAAGGGACAGCAGAATATTTAGGGAGACAGAAACAAGAACTGGGAAAATACAAATAAGAGACGGAATCACTTAGAAAAGATGAAAAGGGGGAAAATATTAAGGTGGCCAAAAGCATGTATATACTTCTGGGATTGTAAAGGGGCTTATCTTATGTATTTAAAAAGGGAAGTAAACTGAAATAAGGGATCATTAATCAGGGTAAAGGCATAACATGGTGCCTTTTAAGGTAAATTGAAGTTAGATATAAAGATGGGCCAAAACAAATATTTGTTGTTGTTGTTTAGTCGTTAGGTCGTGTCCGACTCTTCGTGACCCTGTGGACCAAAGCACGCCAGACCCTCCTGTCTTCCACTGCCTCCCGGAGTTGGGTCAAATTCATGTTGGTCGCTTCAATGACACTGTCCAACCATCTCATCCTCTGCCATCCCCTTCTCTTCTTGCCTTCACTCTTTCCCAACATCAGGGTCTTTTCCAGGGAGTCTTCTCTTCTCATGAGATGGCCAAAGTATTGGAGCCTCAGCTTCAGGATCTGTCCTTCCAGTGAGCACTCAGGGTTGATTTCCTTCAGAATGGATAGGTTTGTGCTCCTTGCAGTCCAGGGGACTCTCAAGATCCTCCTCCAGCACCACAATTCAAAAGCATCAATTCTTCGGCAGTCAGCCTTCTTTATGGTCCAGCTCTCACTTCCATACATCACAACAGGAAAAACCATAGCTTTGACTATGCAGACCTTTGTCAGCAAGGTGATGTCTCTGCTTTTTAAGATGCTGTCTAGGTTTGCTTTCCTCCCAAGAAGCAGGTGTTTATTGATTTCGTGGCTGCTGTTTTTGCAAACAACACTCAGAGTAATGTCTATCTACAGTATTGGCAAACAGCCCAGAAACATAACCTTGAAAAAGCCTAGAAACCTGATCTGAAACTCTGTTTTGTCTTACCGGTTTCTTCTTCTTCTGAGAACTGACTAAAACATAAGACAATTAACTTCAGAAAGTCTAATGCAGTGATCATGGAGCCCAAATAGTACTTAATGAATATATATTAGTTATGATGTTGATATAGACATGATACAAAATGTGGAGCTAGAAATGGCTAAACAATTATATAAAGAAAATATGTATAAAAGTAGTCAATATTGTATACTGAAACACAAACATGAATGGTTTAAATGTTTAAAAAAAGGTATAAACTTTGAAGAGACAACTGCCAAGACACCAAGATGCAAAGACCAAATAATTGTAAGCAACCCATGTAACAAGCACGATTAAATGTAGATAGAGTGAAAAATTAATAAAATGTTAAAAAAACCCAAATCTGTATCTAAATCGCTACTCCTTGAAAATCTGGCAATATTAAATACAAACCTCATGAGCAAGGTGTATATTCAGAGCACCTTAAACAAAGCAAAGCAAATAACCAGCAGATAATTCATCCGCCTTAAAAGAATGCAATAAACCTCACAACCCTCAGGTCTGCAACTCCTAAGGATACAGTTGGCTTACAATGTATTAGGGCAGTGGTCCCTAACCTTGGGCCTCCAGATGTTCTTGGACTTCAACTCCCAGAAATCCTGGCCAGAAGAGGTGGTGGTGAGGGCTTCTGGGAGTTGTAGTCCAAGAACATCTGGAGGCCCAAGGTTAAGGACCATTGTATTAGGGAATTCTAGTCTACCACCAGAGGCTTAGATCATGATCAAGGGTTCTCACCACACCCTACAAATGCTGGTTGGCTTACCCTTGAGGCAAGACTTTTATGTTAACCACAATAGTTTGGTGGATGGCTGGTACTTATTATGTAACATCTGTCAGTACTTTCTGCAGTGAATTTCCCTCTGACCCATTTACAATCTTACCCTGAAGCACATGTAATGCAGACATACTTGAAATTCCAGATATTGCTCCATGTATCTGAGGAGGCAGGCTAGAGTCCATGCATGCTTATACAGTACTGTAACACACGTGCTAATCAATCAGTCCTGAGGCACCACTTTACTGTCTTAAAAACTCCTAGCAACCACCCCATTGGCACAGTAAATATGGCATTATCCAAATTTCAGGTTCACCTTGCAACTTGGCTTGCTATTTTGCAACAAATTGGTTTAGATAGAGATCAACTGTTTTTCTAACAGCCAGTGGGATTCCATCTCCTCCTCCTCTAATACATAGTCTGTGCCTCTCTTTTTTGCTACTAAAAACGGGTGGGTTGTATTTTGCACTATTAAAGAGAGGGCCGGGTAGTTGGGGCTCGTCAGCCTGGGAAGGCAGCCCATCTAGGAGAAGGAAAACTCCGATTTCAAACCTCTACTGCCTTGTGGCTATATCCACTCATGGAAAAGGCTTCAGGAGTTAACCTAGAGGCAAAATCCGGAGCTGGAGTCCCGAAGGCAGTTCGTATCGTTCTGCCAACTCCTGCGACATCGCTGGAACCAGTTGTATTGGCTCTTGCCTTTCCACTGGACCATTTCAGCAATGTGGAGAGGGGGGATCTGCTGCTTGGGTAACAGCCTATCCTCCATATTACCTTACCCGGGCTTCATGCTCTGGATAGGACACTCCTCGATTCAGAGCATGTTACCATAGTCTCTCGAGACTGAAGGATGCCTATATATATATTTTGCATATATGCGATTTAACAAGGTGGAAGGGTTGTTTTATTATTCAAGTATTAGTTACATTTACTTTCTTTTAGCACCTAAGAGCGGGAGACATGGCTCCCTTCCTCTTCTAATCCTCAGAACAAACCTGTGAGGTAGGCCAGACTTTAAAGTGTGCAGCTGTCCCAAGATCAACTAGTGAGCTTTTGTGGCTCATTGTGGACTAGAATCTTGATCTCCTTAGGGCTGTTAACTTTTTAGATATACTGTATTACTATAACAACATGCTGCAGTTAATTGTCACCCCAAAGTGATACAATGATGCTCAGAGTCCCAGATCATCCTCCTACTAGTGCTGAGTTATGGACAGCTTCAGCATTTTATTCTATTCATTCTTCTCAAAAGCAGCTATCTAAGATGTGCTCCCAGATCCTATTTTGTTAACTGAAAGATTTTCAGCATACAGTGGTGCCTCGCTTAATGACGATAATCTGTTCCAGGAAAATTGCTGTTAAGTGAAAACATCGTAAAGTGAAATTTAAAAGCCCATTGAAACACACTGAAAATCGTTCAATGCGTTCCAATGGGCTGAAAATTCACCGCCCAGCGAAGATCCTCCATACGGCAGCCATTTTTGGTGCCCGTATAGCGAGGAATCCGTCCCTAAGCACAGCGGGGAGCCATTTTAAGCACCCGGTGGCCATTTTGAAACCCCAACAATCAGCTGTTTTTGATCGTCGTAAAGCGAAAATCGGTTCCTGAAGCAGGGAACCGATCATCGCTAAGCGAAATTCCCCCATTTAAAACATCATTTTGCGATCACAAATACATCATTGTAAAGCGGATTCGTCGTTATGTGGGACGACTGTACTTTGACTGTATTCCTGCATTGAGCAGGGGGTTGGTTGATGGCCTTGTAGGCCCCTTCCAACTTCACTTTTCTATGATTCTATACACTGGGCACCTGACACATAGTTTCGTCAGGAAAATGTGGGCATTCAAGCCCGCAGTATGTAAACTAAGAAAGAAGAAAAACCCATTTGTGTACATGCAAAGGGCATTTTCCTTGGAGCTGCAAAGAGAGCGTCCTCGATAGAATATGTCTCCGGGGCAGCCTCCATTCTGCTTGGCTTCTCACCTGACTTGCTTGCAGGCAGGATCCGCCTCTCCCTAGCAGCCTGCTCCTTTGGGATCCATGGCTCTTCCTCTGGCTCCACTTTGCAAATAAGTTCTGGTTCATCAGCAGGCAACCCTGTGCAGGAGCGAAAAAGGAAAAAAAAGAGGGACAAGTCTGTCTTTTGCTGGAAACTCCAAACCATGCTTGGCCAGGAGAAGCTGTTTTTCACGGCTTCCTCCTCAGTCTAAGGTAGAAAGGAGGTTGTGATTCCTTGGGCGAGAGGGAGTTCTTACCTAGCAAGGCCACAGTTGCATAGTTGTTTTGCATGATGACCCTTGCAAGGCAGAATTCAGGCCCAGAAAGCCTCCCTGCTGAAGTCCACCACTACTTTCTCAGAATCGGTACCATCCAGAACACCACAAAGGGCTGGTTTCTCCGTTCAGGGTCTTATCCTAGGAACTGCAACACAGTAAAGAGAGCAGACAAGTAAAGAAAAACAGGGATCCACTTGTTAGCATGTGATGCTGTGCCATTGTCAAAGCCAAGCAGGCATGGACATGATCCGTGTGTGAACAGGAAATCATGGGGAACCTCCTGTAAGCAGTGTTGAAGATCCTGTGGTCCTCCTTATGTTTTTGTACAGTACCTCTCCGCTTCGGAGACCATGTCTAATGGTCAGGTGGGAATTGTGATCCAGCAACATATAGAAGGCCACAGGTTCCCCATGATTTTAAACACTGGAAGATGGGAGGTCCCCAGCAGACGCAAGTAGGATCAAAAGGAAAGGCAGTACATTTTGACTCAAACTTCAGCAAAAGTATCCTAAAATAAAAACAGTTGGCAGTGGAACAGATGGCCTCGGGAAATGATGGGGTTTCCTTCTCAGGAAGTATTTAAGGAAAAAAATGACAGCCATCAGTCAAAATGCTGTAGTTTCAAGCTTCTAAACTTGAGTGGAAGGTTAGAATGGATTATCTCAAAAGGACCCTCCAACTCTATGACAGCCCTATGATGACAATAAGTGGGCCGTACAGGGTGAGGCTAGTGTATAAATGGAAAACTGTCTGGGAATCAGAGAAATGGAAAAGTTACTTAAAAAAAAAACTATAATATCAGCATACGTCAGCCTGTGTGGGCAGCGACTTTTCTGAAAATTTTTTCCAGGTGCTTCTGGGAGTGTTAACCACTAAAGAGCCTCGTGACGCAGTGGTTAAAATGCTGTACTGCAGCTAAAACTGTGCTTTTTTTCCAGGTGCTTCTGGGGGTGTTAACCACTAAATCCCACAAAGAAAAAAGGCAGGATATAATAAACAGAGTTAATACAATACAATACATCCTTACTTCAAAGGGGTCAAAACAGCATACCTAATTAGTCTGTTGTATCCTTATGGCAACCCTATCAGATAGATTAGGCTGCTGGATACCAATGACCTCAAGGGTACCAAGTGATTTTCGTGGATGGGTACGAATTTGAACCTAGATCTCTCCAGGCCCACTGCCATAGTCTAACCTTGGGCCTCCCACCATGTTGACTAGAAACTCTGCTTTTAGGTTGACCTAAACTCCACAGCAGTTTTAACTGTAAGATTCAGTGGTGTTGAGGGTGAAGCTTTGACCTCAGAAATTTAAACTAAATGGCTAGTGGTTGTTGTGGGTTTTTTTCGGGTTCTTTGGCCGTGTTCTTCAGAACACGGCCAAAGAACCCGAAAAAACCCACAACAACCATCAGATCCCAGCCGTGAAAGCCTTCGAGAATACTGTACATAGATGGCTAGTGTTTTCTCCTATTCAGAAAAGTAGCATCATCATCATCCTGCCAGCTACACATACACAAAAAAAACTCCAGATAAGCATGTCAAGTACTGGTGAAAATCAGAACCCCAGCAATTTCAGAACATTTTCTTCCCGGATACAGCCTGGAGTGCTACAGAAACCTGTGCAACCGGTTTGTCGCAGCAGCAAGGGGGCAAAATGGTGAAGCCTCTACCATCTTACCCTCAAATCTCTGCAAACATTGTTATCTATGCTCTAATTTTTATCAGAAAAGCTGGCTGGAATCAGAACACTTTATTAGGTTTGGAATCAACACCAGCCAGCACAAAGAAATCTGGCCTCAGGCAAACGGAACGGAGGGTGAAACACAGCCATGTATATTCAAAGAGATGGCATCTACTAATATACCTAAGAGAAGTTTTATATCGTCCCAAAAGAACCAGGGTGCCGCTAAGCTAAAGATCTATGGCTGCATGCTAGGGATTTATTTGATTTTCCATCCCACCTAGGTGGTGGCAGCATAGGTGTCTCTGCACCCACGTAACATTCGTCCCATTATCACGTCTGACCGAACAAGCCTACAGGTTTCTGGAGTTTATCACCGTTGTGCAAAACCTGTTTGATCAGGCTCTAATAGTGGCACAAAAGAAATGAATGCAAACACATGTCCCAGAGTCTTAAAACACAAAATGAGGGGGGGGGGAGTTTAAAACGTTAAAAAAAAGAGAAGAAAAGAATAATGCCTCTTTTGTGTCACACATGCACTAGAAAGAGAAAACTGGAAGACAGAACAGAAAAGAAAAGATGGGTGCAAACTAAACTGAAAAGAACTGATTGTGTTCTTTGGTAAAGATGCAATCCTATAACCACTTATCTGGGAGAAAAGCCCACGGAATCTGAATTGCTTTAGAGTCAGTAAGCATATGGGAGATAGAAGGGACCAAAACACAAAATCACTTTTCTTCAAGGTACTGGAGGGGGGGAAAGGAACAGAAGCGCTTCAGTCTTCCCCCCAGACATCGCCTCTCAGGTGTCCCTTCCTCACAAATAATGAGCATGAGATTAGGCAAAGCATTTCAGTGGATCTCTCTAGAGTTAAGGAGAAGCAAACACCATGTTTATCTAGGGCTGAACTAAATGCAACTTATTTTTGAGTAGGCAGGCATATGATTGCACCGTACATGTTATTTCTTTAAACTTTATTCACACTAAAACGTGAAACAATTTAAAATTATGGATGTATGTGAAATATAGGCAAAATTGGAAAAAAAAAGTTAGTTACGACTCTTTTTGACCAGTAGCAGGTAACTTCAATAGCACTGTCTCGGCCATTTCCTTGGTCTTCTTTTGTACACATGGTGGGGCATAAATTGCAAGCATGGACGGATAAAGTGCTGCATGGATTGAATTTCTCCACAGTCACAGAACATTTGTCCCATAGCCAGGTAGCCACATTTTACTTGATTATTCTTTGACCTTCCTCCTTCGAAGCTGATTAAGTGACTTCCAAATTGTCCAGCTATAGTCTCGTCCTTGTGGGAAACGCTCTGCAGCATACATCCAGGTGTGTTATTTTTGTTCTCCATAGGTTTAGCCTATCCTCTTCTGGTTTAATATTTAGAGACTGAGAAGCACACAGAATTTTTATTCCTGATTTTAGCCATCATCTTAGCGGCGTTGCGGTCGTGTTCTTATGTGCTTGTGCCGGGTTGAGTTGGGTGCTGTGTTACCTTATTTTGCTCATCATTATTTGCTAGCACTTCTTGATGTACTTCTGGAGGGGCAATGCTAGCTAAATAATACACTTTTTCAATGGGGGGGGGTTCAGGCAAGCAGTAATAATCCTGCATGATTCATGAAAAGCTACTTGTTTGGCAGGAGCTAATTTATACCATATGGCACTAGCATATTCTGCTGCACAGTAGCCGCACAGGGACAAAGCAGCTGTTCTTATTGTTTGTGAGTGTGCACAACTTTGTTTGCTTCGACCACAACTACCAGTGCTGTCATTTATACTCTTTCAGTAACTCCAGGAAAACATCCATGTCCCTTTTTTATTCTTTCCTAGCTCAAATGGGAGTTCTTGTTGGAAGGGAGTCTCAGCTCATCCTCTTTGCCACTTGGTATGTCCCGGTAGGTGTGCGAGGAGGAATTAGGGGAGGAATGTCAGTCTAACGGATCTGTTTCCTTGAACCTTAAAAGGAGACTGGATTTCTCGATGATCTCAATCAGCAGTTTTACAAAAAAAAATTTTTTAAAAAAATACAATACAAAACATTTGCGAGGGTTTCTTCTCCTCCTCCTCCTGCAACTTGATCTGTAGAGATGGTGACAGAAGAAGGAAGAGCAGCAACCCGTGTGGCGCCCCGGCACAAGCACGTGAGAACACGACCGCAACCCGTGCCATCACGAGAAACGAGGCTACATACACGCAGATGCATACACACGACCATTCCGTTGGGTAGGTCCACTCGCAGCACTTCCTGCTGGAGGAAGCGTCAAGCAGGGCCGGCCAGGGAGATGCCCGAGACACCCATCGCCCATCATCTCCCCCCCCCAAGTCCTAGAGACACTTACCTTTCCTCCCGTGGGTTCTGCGAACGACGAAAGCGGTTCAAAAGCACTCCTTCCGATCCGCGATCCTACACGTACGCCGCTTAGACGGAAGTTCCGTTCGCTTCCCGACGACCAAAACAACTGGGAGTCCGTTGTCGTTGCCTCCGAGGAACGGAGACTTGAGAGCACGTCCACAAACACACATACAGTATATATACGCGCACACACAAACCACGGAACGTAAAGAGCCACACAGGCACGACACACAAACACACACACCACGGAACGTAAAGAGCCACACAGGCACAGAGAGAAACCCGTTTTAGCTGTCGTGGCTTCCCTTGCAGTGACACATGGAGGTTGTAGTTCAGAGCGAAGGCTCTGCCCCTATAAGGCAAGGGTCCCTGCCGCCCGTCCGAAACTACCACTCCCAGAGTTCCTCGGGAGCAGCCTGTGCTAGCTGAACTAGTTTTGGAACCGGTTTTGTGTTTGTAGTGCAGATGGCGAGAGGTCCAATAGGAGACCAACGCCTTGAAACCGAGGGAATGAGAGGAGGCTTTTATAAACCTCTTCTATAATAAGAAGAAAGGAAGGGAAAAAAATATGGGGAATTTGGGCCTTTGGATAACTTAGGAAAAACTGGGTAATTAATGAAATTCTGTTCCATGGGGCTTGGGCTAGGCTGGAATGCTCATCAGCTATAATAAAAGTATTCGTGAAGGCTTTCACGGCCGGGATCTACTGGTTGTTGTGGGTTTTTCAGGCTCTTTGGCCGTGTTCTCAAGGTTGTTCTTCCTAACGTTTCACCAGTCTCTGTGGCCGGCATCTTCAGAGGACAGCACTGAAGAACACTGCCAAAGAGCCGGAAAAACCCACAACAACCAGTATAATAAAAGTGTTTACCTGCAGTGAAATCCGAAGCATGTTTACACAGAAGTCCCATGGAATTCAATGTTCTGTGATTATGAGTGTCATCCCACATTGGGCCCTCCACCAGATATGTTGGATAACAACTCCCATCATCCAACTCAGGCTGATGTGGTTTGTAGTGCAATGTACCTGAAGGATGCCAGGTTGCAGAAGCCTGCTGCCCAGGACTGGAACCCTAAATACACATATGAAGTGAAGGTGAAGAATAGGCATCCCTCTTTATACAGGACTGCAATGCCCATAGTTGCAGAAGCCTGTTGCCCAGGACTGGAACCCTAAGTCAAGGTGAAGAATAGGTGTCCCTCTTTATACAGGACTGCAATGCCCATCATTCCTTGCCAGTTGCTCTGATGGCTAGGGCTAATGAGTCCTTCAGTCCAGCATCGTCTAGACAACAACATGTTCCCATCTAGGACTGAGGAACAGATTACTCTTAACAGCAATTACTTCTGACTTAAATATTGTTTAGGATGGCAAGCAGCATCCTGATGTGTAGTTACCCTGAAAGTAATGCTTCCTAGACATGTTGGACTTACTGGTGTGTGAACATGCAAAGCAATACAGTACCACTATGACTGCTGAAAGTAGGAGGTCCAAAGCCCCAATTCTGTGACAGTATCTCTAACATTGCATTGCCAAAGAAAAAGACATGTTTGCCTTTGCATTACCTGGACACCAGGAAAAAGCAGTTTTTTGCTTGGTTGACTTGGAAGTTTGCCTGAAGAGAAAGGTTTTCTCCTGCCTGCGGAAGGACAGCAAAGATGGGGCCAGTCTGGCTTCCTGTGGGAGGGAGTTCCAGAGTCTGAGAGCAGAACAGAGAAGGTCCTCTCTCATATCTCCACCAAGTGCCTCTGTGAAGATGATGAGACTGAAAGAAAGGCCTCTACTGTACTGATTATTTTAAGCTGTTGAGAGACAGTGTGATGTATGGGTTAGAGTCCAAATGGGACTTAGGAGAACAAGGCCCAACTCACCAATTCACTGGCAGACTTCAGGCTAGTAAAGCTTTCTCAGTCTGACATACCTCACAGGGTTGTTGTACAGTACTTAACAATTAAGAAACAGAGTTATACCCATGGCATTGGGCACACTGGAGCAAAGATAAAAATGTAACTAAGTAAAACAGCAAGACTTGGACACCACAGCTTGTTGAGAGGTAGTAAATGGCTACATTTTCTCTAAAACACCAGGAAGGGACGGAATGATAGCAACACAGAGAAACAAAACAAAATCAAAAGTATTGTGGCGGCTTTATGATTAACAGATTTCTTTCAGGATTAGCGTTCATGAAGGAAATGGATCATAACTGGTGAACGCTAACAGTGAAAACAGAAGCTTGAGCCTTCAGGGGCTTTTATACTTACAGTATTTTTGTCATAGGCATTGAAACAGACTGGCATGGCTGTGTCATTAAAAACTACTGCATCAGAGAGAGAGACAAAACAAAAGAGTTTTTCTCAGTGAGTAATAAATGAGAGATGGCTGGAATATGGTCGGGGAAACTACTCAGCCCTGGAATTTTTGTAGAGCCTCATAAGGCCTGGCCCACAAACACAAGGCTGGTCAGCAGCTAAAAAAAAGAATGAGGTGTGACAACTGTTTTAGGCAACTGTGGTGCCCCAGATGTTTTCGTCTATAACCCTCACAGCTTCTCACCCATGGATTATGGGAGTTGCTGTCCAAAAATAATCTGGAAGACCATAGCTGCTCATGCCTGTCAAAATCAAAGCTGAAAAAAAATCTTCTTAAAGGCAATCTATTTGTGTTTCTCATAGTGTATGACGGATAATTAATTGTCATTGCTCATTACATGGCTTACATCAACTCACTGTGCTGCTAATCACTTTTTGGAACTTCAAAAAAAAAACCCTTCTCAGGATCAATACGTGAATGACATGAAGCTTGAAAAAAATCCCTTCAGAACACATTAAAATGGCTGAAATACAAATAAAGTAATTTGAAAAGTAACTGGGAAACAAAACTTCTTATACAAATGAAATAACTTAATCTCCCCATCCTTGTTGTGGTACTTTTGAAGCATAACTTCATTACAGTATGTCCTAATTATCCCCAAAAACATAAATTCCTTAGAAGGAACTACTTTACTTATACAGTAAGTTACTTCCAGACTCTCATCTGAACACTGAGATGACAGAATGGAGTAGGCCTCAATGGAAGATGGATTCCAATTTTAAATGCCCGTCTATGATATTAAAAAAGAATGTTCTCCAAATAGTAAAGATTTTATTTTCAATAAAGAAGAAAGATTTTGCCCTAGGTTGTAACCTGGTATGCTTGGTATTTTTTATTATTTCTACAGAATCCGGACATAGGGTAATATTCAGAAGTGTGAACACCCCCACCCACCACCCAAATTCTGAGCTGGTGCAGTCCATTCAGCCTCCTCACATTTTGAGCCAAGCCTGGAGCTTGACAGTCTATCTTTGGAGGCAAAAATGCTGAAAGTAGGGGGTCATGGTCACATGATGAGAAGGCAGAATTCTCTGGAAAAGACAATAATGCTAGGAAAGGTTGAAGACGGCAGGAAGAGAGGAAGACCAAATAAGAGAAGGATTGATTTCCTAAAGGAAGCCACAGCCTTGAGTTTGGAAGAGCTAAGCAGGGCTGTTGAGGACATGTGACATTTTGGACATCACTCATTCATAGGATTGCCAAAATTTGAGGGCAAGTTGATGGCACATAACAATAACAACAGCTTGTTTTGTCAGGCTTCAACTAAGTAACAAGAAAAGTAGGAAAGAGTTTTTAGCATATAAACATTTTTATAAATAAAATAAATAAATAAAAGTTGGAAAGAGTTTTTAGCATATAAACATTTTTCTGTCTCTGTCATAATATGAGGTATCAGTAGCTATGTCCTGAATCTGGACTCAGGACCTCACGAACCAACACCTTCACACTGTAAACGATGGAATTTAAAAACTATGGAATTTGCTCCCCCAGGATGAAGTGATAGCTAGCAATTTGGATGGCTTGAAAGGGGGATTAGATATATTCATGAAGGACCGGTCTAGGGATTGCTACCTGTCAAGCAATATGTTACCTCCTGAATTGAAGGTGGTGAATATCTCAACGCCTGTTGTTGCAGAACAAGCAGCAGAGACCTGCTGTGCTCATGGCCTTGTAGGAGGTGCTTCTTACAGGCACCTCTGATGAGCCTTGATGCCAGATTACAGAGTTATTTGGTCTGATCCAGCCAAATTCTTATGTATATTAAATAGAGACCAGGGCACACACAGAGCCAGTGGTGGAGTAGAGGCAGGGACGTCCAGAGTTAAAGTTGTTAGACATTTTGTGTAGAAGACACCTGACCACATTTTCATCCTCCCCAACCCCACAATGCTCCCTACCCCATCTGAGCACATTTTAAATCCACACAAGGAATAGATTTTCCTCAGGAACAATATAGTGTTGCAAAGATGGCCCAGTGAGTTGGGTACCTAACTGCAGACCACTGTGCCTCCTGGGAGAACAGCTAGCCTGTGTAGCCTTGGGCAAGCTGCACAGTCCTAGGGCATTCCCCAGAAGAAAGGACTTGTACGCCACTTCAGAGTACAATACTGTACTGTACTCTGGTTTCGCTTCTGTTGGTATTCCCAGGAAATCTCGGAGAGAGCGGTCATAAATCAGAATAGACCTGACAATGTGCAATTATTAATTTCTTATTAATTAGGCCTGTTGCAATGTAAAGTATTCGAGGGTGGTTTGGTCCTCAAGGAAGAGCCATCAGTTTTATGAAAGCTTCCTTCCCTGCCCCCCCACCCCATCAAAAAAACAAGGGCTGGAATACCCTTCTGGATCCCTCTGGGAGAGAACTGGTCATGATGAGCACCTGCTTTTGGAGAATTACCACTACACCCGTGGTGCATCCTCACTCATTTTAGCCCACATCGGACAGCACAGGTCTGGATTTAGAGGGAAGGCTTTCCGTGTTAGAAATTATAATGCATGAGTCAAATTTAAGGCCTCTGGGAATCCAGTCTGCCAGGCTGGCCCCCTTCTTCTTTTTCTTTCTCTGTCAGATAAAATATAATCTTTTTTTAAAAGAGGAGCCCTGGGACTGTGCAATTTGCCCAAGGCCAGTCAGATAAAATATAATTCCCTTTTTTTTTAGAGGAGCCCTCTGAGACTGTGCAATTTACCCAAGGCTACACTTTGGAAACATGTACGTAATCATTACACTTGAGTAGAAAATTATCTCAGAACGTCCAGCAGGTGGCAGCAGACACAAAAGAAGAAGTCATGGCTGAGTAAAAACGAATGGGTGATGGGGTTGTCCCAAAAATTGGATACGGGGA